TGAAAAACTAAATATAACAAACATTAATCACTGAAAAACTAACTGAAATAAATAATTAGCAAATAAAATATTCATTTCTAGGATTAAACTCTGAAAAAACTGACCGTCTGTTTAGAGAAACACCTGTAGATTAAGTTTTACAGACGATCAACCAAGAGCAGAATTATAAACAAAAACATCTTTTCTACATAAACATAACACATCTTCTAACTTTACTTTAAAAGAAAGTACTAACATATTTTTACATGTGAATTGCTGTAGCAAAGTAATGCTTAATGACTCGTATATGTCTTATAAATTAATATACACTTGAAGTCAGAATAATTCGCCCCCTTTTGATTTTTTTTCTTTTTTAAATATTTCCCAAATGATGTTTGACAGGGCAAGGAAATTTTCACAGTATGTCTGATAATATTTTTTCTTCTAGAAAAAGTCATATTTGTTTTATTTCGGCTAGAATAAAAGCGGCTTTGAATTTTTTTAAAACTATTTTTGGGACAAAATTATTAGCCCCTTTAAGCTAATTTTGTTCTTCGATAGTCTACAGAACAAACCATCGTTATACAATAACTTGCCTAATTACCCTAACCTGCCTAGTTAACCTAATTAACCTAGTTAAGCCTTTAAATGTCACTTTAAGCTGTATAGAAGTGTCTTGAAGAATATCTAGTAAAATATTATTTACTGTCATCATGGCAAAGATAAAATAAATCAGTTATTAGAAATGAGTTATTAAAACTATTATGCTCAGAAATGTGCTGAAACAATCTTACTTCCATTAAACAGAAATTGGGGAAAAAAATAAACAGGGGCGCTAATAATTCAGGGGGGCTAATAATTCTGACTTCAACTGTACGTCTTAAAAAATTAATGATAAGATATGGAACCTAGAAATTATATATATAGCTTGTCATGGTTGCTTTATGTCTAGACTACAATATTGTGGTTATAAATGTAGCTGTAAATGTTCCCACAAGTCTTAATTAATTAATCAATTACTCTGTAGTCATTCATTTTTCTTTGGCTTAGTCCCTTATTTATCAGAGGCTGCAGGGCTTGAAATTGCAACCATTTTGGTAGCATATGCGGTTAAAAATTTTATTCATGCGATGAGAATTATTAGAATATGCTGCTGCTTTGATTATTATGGCAGAGCAAGTACCGAGCCCTGTTATTGACAGTATATACACAGTCATGCCATCTGAGGATTTAATGAGCTGCTGCTGCAAACACAATAGATGTAACCACTGTAGCAGATCTAAACACAGGGGGAGCTGGGGTGGAGGAGGGTCTCCAAAACCGCACTGCAGCTTAACAGCATAGAATGATGCAGAGCATTTAAACTAATGAGAAGCAAGCTCATTGGCTGCTGAGGCAACAGCAACCAATCTCCTGCACAACGAAGTGATTCAGGAGCAGATTAGGTGACCTATCTCAGTAGGCTCACAGGGAATCTGCGCACGCAGGATTCCGCAAATTTTTAGCCCATCATTGATTCTGTTTATTTACTTGAGTAAAAGTTTACTTGAGTTTTTAATTAATTATAGTAATATTATTGATTAACATGTAAATATTCATATGATTTATTTACAATACAGTGGGTACAGTAATATTTTTTGCCTTTTAGTAGAGATATTATATGAGAGAGTTGCTTTATTTACTATATAAAGTGGATCTAATTGAATTTGCATTGTAAAAATTAAATAAAAGTTAAAAATATATCATTTTTAGTTAATATATTAAATTTTTAGTTATGATACTCCTAAAATTATTCTGCATAAATTTGCAGAATTTTAACAAAATTCTGTGCAGAAATAGCAAAAAATACCCGCAGATTCCGTCTGGCCCTACCTATCAGTCTGCACTCGCACAGAGTTTCATAGCAGAAATTGTACAAACTCGCATTAAAATCTTCTTCCCTTTTTTTTTCGCAAGAAGTTTGGCCAGAAAAGTAATGGTTGTGTCCAACTTCGCCTGGTAACTCTCCAGTTTTTTTTTTCACTTTCGTGAATTGGTGAAGTTTGTTTCTTGCCGCTGTCGCCATTGGCTTGCTTGGTTTGCGACTTGTGGAGCTGCACATCGATGGATTTGCTCTTCAGTGTTTGGACTCTCAGTACAGAAAATTTAACCACACTGAACTGAACTTCAAGTCTGAACACAGGACTGACCCAGTTTTAGTTTACTAGAACTTCTATGTGAAGCCGCTTTGACACAATTTACATTGTAAAAGCGCTATACAAATAAAGATCAATTAAATTGAATTCCCTTTTTTAGCAATGACCATCTTTTAACCATCCAATTGATTCCCAAAGTATAAAATCATACACCTCACTTCTGAAACAACTTCAATCGTATTTGCGTCACGATGAGGTAAAAAAGGACAACCTTAATCTTCGATTTATGGCGACCTTAAATTTAAAGAATTAAACTTTTTTTTTTGTCTGCTATGTAAAGGAATTTTTTGAGTCAATTAACAAGAACCTTTTTGAGTACTCAAAATAAATACCCAACACTGTGTAAAACATTATTTTAACATCTCTAAATGGTAAAACTGAAGTAGTGTTTGCAAACGTGCCCCACAAACAAACAGTAAAATCAAGGAAAATAACAAAGATATTCATATCTATTTACACTGTCTGCAGGTCACAATGAGGTTTCTGATCCTGCTGTGTGTGTCACTGCTGGCGATCAGTGGTGAGTGATTTATAATCCATTTACCATGTGCATCAGAATCAACATTACAACATCAATATAACCACACAAATATCTCCTTGTTTGCCATTATTTTATCAGATGCTGCACCAATCACAGCAACAACATCAAGTACACAAACCTCAGCAACAACATCAAGTACACCAACCACAGCAACAACAAGTACACCAAACACAGCAACTACATCAAGAACACCAACAACTGGAACATCAAGTACTACAACCGCCGCAACAACATCAAAGTACACCAACCACAGCAACAACAAGTACACCAACCACAGCAACAACATCAAGAACACCAACAACAGCAACATCAAGTACACCAAACACAGCAACAACATCAAGAGCTCCAACCACAGCAGCAACGACAAGTACACCAACCGCAGCAATCTCAGCAACAACATCAAGAACACCAACAACAGCAACAACATCAAGAACACCAACAACAGCAACAACATCAAGTACACCAAACACAGCAACAACATCAAGAACACCAACAACAGCAACAACGTCAATATCACCAAACACAGCAACAACATCAATAACACCAAACACAGCAACAACATCAATAACACCAAACACAGCAACAACATCAAGAACACCAAACACAGCAACAACATCAAGAACACCAAACACAGCAACAACATCAAGTACACCAAACACAGCAACAACATCAAGAACACCAAACACAGCAACAACATCAAGTACACCAAACACAGCAACAACATCAAGAACACCAACAACCAGCAACAACATCAAGAACACCAACCACAGCAACAACATCAAGAACACCAAACACAGCAACAACATCAAG